TTCTTTTAAGCGAGTTGTACTGCATGACTACATTTATTTATTTTTAGGTACAATGCAAGTATAATTTGATCGTTAATCAATTAATTACTTGTTGTTAAGAGTTAATTGAGATTTTTTTTTGTTTGGTTACTTATTGAAAATTTTGCTATATTTTCAAGGTTATGCAAGATCAATGCTTTTTTTTTATTAATTGCAGAAAATTATTATAATTTTATATATTTTTATTTATTAATTGCTTAGTAAAATACATACATACATATATGTAAGTATAATTAAAATTTTATAAATTGTAAATTTTAAAAATATTAAAGAGATAAAAATAGACATGAATTGTTTTTACTTAAAATGCTATTAACTATATGTATAGATATCGCAATCAATCCTTATTAAATTAATAATGGCAATTTCGAAGAGAATAAGTGTGACAAGAAAACGGAGCTGAAAGAGATAGGGGAATCTAATAAATTTAAATGACTGCCTTTAACTCAATATGGACAAATTTATTTATAATTACTCGCAATTTTAAAAATTTTTACACATAACGTATAATAGTAATAACTGTTAGGCTCAGAGCTTTAACATATTTTAAATAAGAATTGAGAATAATATCTATTCACTGCATATATCTTTATATGTGCATATTATAAACTGCATATATCTATTATATCTGCATAAATATGTTTAAAAACGTATATGTTCATATACGTACATATGTTCAAATTATATAACAGAAAATTAAGAAGCAAATAAATTTCAATGATTGTTCTTATATAACATAAAATTTAAACAATAAAATAAAAGAAATTATAGTCATTTGATTAAATAAAACAATTATTTATAATTATATAACATCGCGCTTATTATATTTTATACTATTCAAATTTACACTATTATATTGATATAATTATACAATTATATTGATAGAACTATAAAATTATATTGGTCTCTTATTATTTAAATGAAATTAGCTTTAATTATATTTGATTGTATTATTCATAGCTATAATTATTTAATGAACTGATTTTAAAACAATTGATTTTGAATTTTTGTACTAACATCTTCAAATGAATAAAATCAAATGAATTATTTATAAAATTAAAATTGTTTCTAATGCCTAAGTTGTGAAATACCATTATTATTGACAAAAGGTCAAAAAAATTTAAGCTTTCTAAACACATATGTACATAAACATATTTATTCAACTTGTGGGTCAATATTAAAATATAACTATAATGTTTATAAGTGCTATAATGTTTAAAAATGCAGACGATTATCAAAAAACTAAAACAAAACATATACGTAAACTAATCAATATATGTACATATATCATTTTCCGATTAGAAAGTACATATTTTATTAGTGTGTTTGGTACTTTCACAAATTTGATAAGGCTTACATTGCAATTTTAAATTTTTTTTTATATTGAATTTTTTCAAAAAAATTTCAATAAAATATTAATTTTCTTTTAATAAATAAATTGTACCTGAACTAAAATGTAATTGGTACTCTATTATCTTTAAATTTGTTTTCTGATAAGATAAATTTTGTATGTACAGTCATATCAAGTTTCTATAAATAGTTTCTAAACAATTCACAAGAAAAATAAATGTAAAATAAACGTACCTACATGAATGCTTAAACGCAAGCTGACAAACATTGTATACATTTTAGTCCATGAAAAAATTTTATTGCAATAGTTTTAAAATTAAGAACTGCTTGTACACACATACTTATATGGATATAAAAACATTAATTTCTTATAATAATAATAATTATAATAATAAAAATTATAAAACAAAAATAATTAATCTTTCTTGATTATTTAATCGTGTTCGTTTTTAATTAAAAAAAAAGCAAAATCAAAATTATCTGATCATTAAAGTTCCTACGCCAAATCATTTTAAAACAATAAATAAATTAACCTAAAAGTTCAATTGTTATAATAGATATACGTATGATTACATATACATAAGTATATATACATGTATGTCCAAATCCAAAATAGATTTAGAAGTATGTATGTTGTACAGTTCTAATTCGAGCACTTAAATTTTTAAATACAACTGTTTTATACGATTTTAAATGATGATAGAGTAGTGAGTAGAAATTCTGCTTGGGTGGTGATGGTATATTCATTTAATAATATGTATATATACGTATGTATAACTATTTTATAATAATTATGAAAATAATGAAATTGAAATTCATGAATAAAAAAAAAAACTGCGTATTTTGTGAAAAAATATTATACTTGTCATTAGTTGCACATCATAAGTATACGATGTGACTCTGTGAAAAGTACAATATTTCATGAATTAGCATGCATATTCCGAAATGCAGGCAATTTTGGACGATTTCACAAAATCTGAAATTGTTTAGGGGTTTTTTTTTTTGTTGTGTAACTAACAGGACAAATAATTTACCCATTTTCGAATCTTCACATTATTGAATATGATATCGTAATCTTTACATAATCATCCTGTATTATTTTACTTTTAATATTAAGTATGTGTATTGAAGATTGCCATATAAATTGTATTGCGCTATTAAGACTTATATTTAACTATGCTTTCCTTATGAACGATAGCTGCTGAGAATGCAAAAGCATGCAAATACTAATTAAGCTTAAAGTTTATTTAGTATTTGCATTAATCAATATTGATTAATCAATAAAAAAAAACTATGCATAAAAGCCAACACAGCATTTTGTTAATTTTTTTCTGAGAAAACTATGAGTTTAAAAAAAAAATGCTTGCATACACTAAGTAACAAAATTATTACAAGTGTGTATGTATGTAGAAAATTTTTGTAAATTTATTAATATCTTTAACGAATTCTGTTTTCTTGCTTGATTACTGATTTCTTTCTTAATTTTCCTTGAATTTTGAGTTCCCACTTTTGTCTCATTTTCGCAAAGGTTTCATTTTTTTTTTTTTAATAATTAATTATTCATTAATCATCTTTTAAGGGAAAACAACTTATTTATAATTAATTTGTATGTACGTATGTATATGTAGGTTATAGTTTGACACTGTCCTGCCAAATAATTTTGTAACTTTTTAAATTTTTAATAAATTTAGTATCTAGTTAGTAAATGTTATTTTGAAGTGAAAGTGAAATTACAAGAAAATTATGAACGAAAACTTTATACTAGCGCGAATCAAAATCAATTACATTTTTGAAATAATTTAAGATAGTTTTAATGCAAATTATTGAAACGAAGATGACATTGATTAAATGAAATGATTTTTGACAAATACAAAGTACTTAGTCTTCAAAAATCGTTTACGAGGTATGAAATTAAATGTTTCGAATTTGATGTGTCAATTATGTTTATTTTTGGAAATCGCTCCTTAACATTGTATGTACAATTTTCAAAAAATATTTAAAACATTTCAAGTAATAGCAAAATTAAAGTCTGTGCTAAAAATGTAAATTTATGAGAACAAAACAATTTAGATTAGCTCTGTAAAGGTAAGGTTAAAGACCTAAGCGTGTAGGTTTATAACAGTGTATTTACTAGTACTCAAGAGAAAAAATAAATCTTTTTATGGATTAATATGGGAACACTTCAGCAAAAATATTAGAAAACCATAAATCGTGAATACATATACGATTATAGTTGTTTATCGGTTTTTAATTTTGATAAAAATTATTCTGTTAACAAATATAACATATTATATAATAAATATATCTATTGCATATTTTCATTAAACTAACATGAATTGAAATATTTATTATTAAAATTCCAAATATAAAATATTAATTTATAAAGATAAATATTAATTGGTAAAAACTAGACAGGTATAAAGTATGCTTAAATTAAAGGAACCAGTTTTCATTAATAGTAGTTTAAAATTTTATAGTTTTACTAGAGTAAGTAATTAAAATAACTACAAAAATTTTATTCTTGTTAAGTACAATGACAGTAAAAATATAATAAGCTATTTATGTCTCACACAACTACACTTAAGGAAATACGAGCCATTGTAATTTTTTTATTACTTATTTTTACTACGAATTTTTTTTTCTTTTAACTTTTTATATATCATATGAAAATTATTCTGTAAATTATTACAGAAAAAGAGCATTGTATTCATATCAAATTTCAAATGTGAAAATTTTATAAGATTTCTAAATTTATTAGAATAATGCAAAACAAAAAATGTTTTAGCAATCTATCACAAGACAGTGATAACACAATCGAATAATGACACTTGGAAAAACATACTTTTAAAATACCAAGACATTTTTTTAAGGCTAGCCTAATAAAAGGCACATGATTAAAGTCATCAAGTGAACCCATTAATCTAGACACTATTTTTTTGTAAAAGTCATTTGTTAATTTTTGTATTTTACTGATGATTTAATTGTATTTTAATTATTAATATTATTTCTTTTATTTATCAGTAAAATTTTTGATTTTTTTTTTAAATGTACTCGTAATATTCGTAATTAATTTTATTTTGTTTCCTGACACTTTTTAATATTGAAAAGTCGTTACACTAAGAGCGTCATCTATATTACAAATAGAGCACTTTATCAATTCGAAATTTGTAGTGACATGAGCGTAACTGATGTAGCCAAGTATTCAGGTATAATTTCTGATTAAATTTTTCAAAAATAAAAATTAATTTGATTTTAGAAAAAATTAAATTCTTGTAAAATGTGTACACAAGAATTTTACAATAAAATTACAACAAATTTACAAATATTGCAAGAAATTCATATTTTTTAAATTAATTCGCAAATATTCTTAAAATTATAATTTAAAATAAAAAATTGTAATTTTTTCAGTAAGGAATTGTTCATACCATATTTTTTAAGCTATTTTTATATACGAAAAAAGTAAAAACAAAAATAATATTTTTAAATGTTTTTCTTTCTTTTTTGTTTTCATTAAATAAGTAAATAAAAAATTAACATTTAATTAGCATACAAGAATATAATAGTGTATATATATGTAATAAACACTTATGTATATTTAAATTTAAACTTACCTGTACGTCATATTCACCAGGTCGTTTACATCGCCAACCATCTTTTCCGATACATTCAGAATAGTGTGCAATTAATATTATATCGATAATGACCCATACTAATGATGTTAAAATAATTATCCGACATGTATTGGAACGAAATTTACCACGAAACATTCTAGTCAAATTTAAATTTGTCATTTTTTAATTTTAATATTTTTTTTTTTTATAAAATAAAAAAAAAAAAAAAACAAAAAAAAATTTCTTTTTAATTATTATTATTATAAAAATAAAATTTACAAAATAAAAATTATTTTTTTTTATTTCACTTTTATAAAATTTAATTTAATTAATTAAATAATTTAATTAATGATTAATTATTAAATTACAAAACTTTATTTTACATTTAATTTTCATAACTGATTTGGAAGATATTTAGTTTTTGATTTTTTTTTTTGGGGAAGGGGGAAATAAATGAAAACCATTAAAAACCCATAAAATGAAATGAATTGGTGTAAGAGAGTAAAAATTTGTTAAAATAAAATAAATTTAGGTTTAAATGAAATGAAAAAGAAAAAAATAAATAACAAATGAAAAAGTCTATTCTCTCTCTCTCTTTCACTTTTTGTTAATTTTTGTTCTTAACTATGAGAATAGATTTGTCACACTTGTTCCCTTGATAATGCCATTTTATTATTTTTTTTTTATTTTTATGATTTGTTGTTACTTTCGTTATTTTATTTAATTAGCTAAAAATTTTATTTTTGATTTTGTAATTAATTAGTTTTAGAAATTGAATTTTAGCTGATTTTTACGATATTTTAGTAAATAAGCATAAATATTTTGTTAATTTCGCTGCTTTTATTGTTTATTTTAAACTAAATATTTATTTTTGTTTTTAATTATTTGTTATATTTTGTATATTTTTAATTTAGAATTAATATTTATTATGATTTTTATGAGATACGAGGTTAGTGGTTAAATTTCATTTCTTAATATTATACATAGATATTGAATTTAGAGATTTTGTTACTTTTGTAAATTGGTCTGGAATGTGTTTCACTATTATGCCATAATATGGTGAATGTATGATATTACTTAAGTTGATTTATTTATAATTTATGGTAAAGTATGTATATAGTTTAATCTGAAAAGAAAATAAATAAAATTAATTGAATTAATAATTGAGTATAAAAAAATTATAAATTTAAATATTACATGTGATAAGAAAAGAAATTTAAAATTATAGAGTTTGGGATTTATTGATCTAACTTATGAAGAATTATAACATTTGCGGTTATATTAAATTTTTATAGATTAAAAAATTTAAAATTATGTTCATATAAAGTGCTATACGAAATTGCTCTTCGTAAAATATATAGTATGTAATAAATATTAATAAGAAGCCGCCTTCCAAAATAAGAAGTTGTCTCCGCTAACTACACAATTATCATAATATCCACACAAGTAACATAAATATCGTATGTAATTGAATTAGAAAAATATTTAATGACTATACTTTCAAAGAATTTCAAATACTATCTGATGGGCGATCCCAATTTGGTACTCAATAATGTTTTTAATGTTCAACGTATTACTTACTTTCATGCAATTGCAAAGATTGACAATTTTTAAGATAAAATAAGTAATATTTTGGGTTACATTACTCACTAATTTTATGCTTCATTTTTAGGAAATTGAAGATTTTTAAAATTTAATATCATTTTGTAAACACAAATTACTCAAAGACACATTTGAGTTAACTCAGTTACCTATAAAACAAAAAATGGTATTTTCTAATAGGTTATAAAGAAATAATGAAGGAAACCCTCCAGTGGAAAGGAAGGAGTGTTAAATATGGTTGAAATTAAAAATCATTTAAAACAACATACTGATAATTAACAATATAACATTTTTGTTTTAATTTATTTAAGTTTTTATAGAGAATTTCCAGCTGTTAAAGTTCAAGAAAAGTAATCAAAATATTTTATACATGTTTGTTAAATTTTTAACACTTTTAAATTAGATGGTATTGACATTTTGATGAAAAAATTTCGGTGTTTTAAATCTTAATTTAGTTTTTTTGATTTTTACTAATACAAAGCCAAAAATTTCATTTAAATAATTAACATTAATTTAATAACAATCGCGAATAGAAATTTAACTAAATAAGAAAGCTTAAAAAATATCAAAATCTAATTGTGTATGATTTTAGGGAGTTTATATCAAATTATATTAATTAGAAAGAACAAATTCGAACAAAAGACATCGAATTAAAACTTAATCAATTTTTGTTACATGTGTTCAAAAAATTAGTAATAAAAGTGTTAATGAAAGTGTCATATATTCTAAAAGTGGGACAAATTTAATTTTCACTAAAAAATTTTAATTTATTAACAAAATTTATGAAAACTGTATAAAATATTCATATGTATTGGACGCATAAAATACTCTTCCAAATTTGAAAAGTTTCCATCAAATAAAGATGATATGCACACACAATCATCAACTCGAATGAATTAAGACCTTTAATTTGGTCATAATTATATTAAATTTTCTTTAACTAAAGCAAATTCAAATACAAATTTTTTTTAATGTTTTATTTAGTTAACAAAATTTCTAAACTAATTTTTATATTGTTTTCGTAAAGTACCGCATATTTATGATTACATACTCTTTAAGGTGAAATTAAGAAATTTAAAAAAATTTTTTTTGATTCTTTTTTTTATTGACTTTTTGACACTGAAAAGAGTAATTGTGGTTAGGCCAACAATAAAAACATAATTTAACTATAATTTTTTGTTTCCAGATTTAAAAAGTCCACTTAATTATTACTTTTCTTTTCAAAGTTTTGCCTAATTATGTGAAGACAAGTACTCACTAATTACATGAAGACAAATTGTGTTTTAAGTAGAGATAAATTAGAATTTCTTTCCAAAAAAAAAAAAAATATTGTATAAGTGTCATTAGAAATTCATTAAGATGGTCAATTTGTGTTTAGCTGTGTATACAAAAAAGATATACATTTAATTTATTTATGACATGAATCTTAAAAAGTACATTTCTCTTTAACAAGTTATTAAAAATTTTAGGATTAAATAATTGAAAAAAAGGTCTATTGAATTGCATTGCATACAATAAGGGAGGTTATCTTATTATCTTATTGTGTATTGTATATTTTAAGGAGGAATGAAACTTAAACTTCACCCGTATAATAAAACGATTAATTTAAACTCGGAGTTTATTGAAGATATTTGCGTTTTCAAACACCATTTGGATTTTCATTATTTTGTAGACCTACAATTTAAGTGTAAGAGAGAATTAAGTGATTTTAGATTCCCGCAGAAGTTATTTAAATTATTTTAGTATTCCATCAAATAAAAAACAAACAACCAGATTCGAAGTGATAAGAACATTTTTGACGAAATTTTTCGGAAATATGCTTAATGAAACAGGAAAAGAAATATGTATGTGCTTTGGAAGTAAAAATATTTCATGATCTTGGTTTTTTATTTTTTGTAATTTAAATAACAAAGATTTTTATTCTTCAAATTATTCAATTAAAGTATAATTGTAAAAAGTATGAAAATAAAATATTTAAAGAATAATTTTTTTTTTAAGATTAAATTACTTCTTTTGTAAACTGTTTATACACTAGAACCATAAATTTTAAACAATTAAATAATATCTAGGCAGGTACTTACACATTTTTGAAATTTTTAGAAATTTAATAATATGTAAAGAAATTTAACGAAAAAGTACGCAAGCTTTTAAATTTAGACACCATCTATCTAAGAAACATACACTTGTTGGAGATACTGATTGATGAAGCGCTCTGGAAAGGAAGATATAACTCTGAAACTCTGTGAGAGAGAGTATCGGAAAATGTCGTCAGTAATTGTTATGACCAAAGTCATTGGCTCCATTGTATCATTTCGGATTTCTAAAAACGGTCAAGTAAGGAAAATATTCAATTCTAGGGTCAAGAGAATAAGAAATCGAGAATGACTGTACTTTGGTTGAGTTTTAACAGAAGAGAGTTGTAATTTTATATGGTAGAAAATATTTAATAACGTTTGCACTTTTATAATCTGAAAAATCTTTTAGAAAGTGTCATTTTTAATTTAAGTTTAAAATTAAATTATAATCTCTTTATATTTTAAATTATAAAATATAGGCAAAACAATTTTAATATTAATACAATGTTCAATTTGTTGTTTTTAACACTTATACGTTAGGTATAAGTGTTACATTAGTTACATTATCTTACGTTTACTTTTACATTTAGTATATACGTACTGCGTACATATATGTATATGTACACGCATCCCTTGCTTAACGACGTTTTTGGGACTGAAAATTTACTACCTAAATCGAAATTACGCTATTCGAGGGGGCATAAATCAAGGGATACCTGTATATGTAAATACAGTAAATAAGTATGTTGAATGATAGACGTGATATGTTAGCAAAATTTGTCTAAATTAAATGCTAAAAAAAGTCACGTAACAACAAATGTACATCAACTTAATTTTCCCAAAAAAAAAATAGCAAAAAAAAAATAAATTAACTTCTTTAGTATATAAATTACCTTTAATCTTGATTTCAATTGAACATCCGACATTTTTCTTTATTTTATTGAAAATAATAAAAAAATCAAAAAAAAAAACTAGAAAATAAAAAATATTTTCCTCTATCTTAAATTACGTGTAAATGTTAGGCAAAATAAAAAAAAAATTTTATTTTATTCTGTTATTTTTATGCCACACCAAAATGCCCGGCAGTGTAAATTTCTTTTAATGTCAAAAAAAAACAAAAAAAATGACAAAAGGAAAATCAGAAAAAGAAAAATCAGTTAAGTTTATACAAAAATTTAACCTCTTTTTTCTTTCCTTTGCATTTTACGTTTACATTAAATGAAATCTAGATCTGCGTATGTGCATACTTACACATACGTATGTATGTATGTATGAGCGATTGTATGTTCCCGTAAAGGTTATTTAAGTCATTTATTTATTTATCGAATTTCCTTTCACTTTTATAACGCTACAACCATTGATACATAGTGACACACACTCATACACACGTAATCAAACCAATTTTTTTTTTTATTTTTTTTTAAATTTTTTTTATAAATTGTGATACAGCACTGATACGCTTGTCATTAGTCTAAATCCGATTGACTGATTTAAAAAAAAAAAAAACAAGAAAAAAAATACAAAAATAAATAAAAAATCAAATCATAAATTTTTCACTTTTTTGATGATTTTTCCATTTTCTCCAGTTCATTTTTTTTTTACAGTTCTTCGTTAATTTATTTTTTTTTTTAATTTCGATGTTTTTTCATTTTTTTTTTCTCGATTTCTTTTTTCGAGTTATCAGTGTACTTGTACATTCACTTAAATAATTTTCAATACATATATGCGGCACTATAGCAGTGTTGGAATTTTTGTTGTTCATAGAAATTAAAAAAAATGTTTTGGTCGGTTTCTCTTCTCTATCGAAATTGATCTAATATTTCGGTCTTTCAAACTGAATTTTCAAAAGTTAATATTAATTTTAATGTATCTATGTATGTATGACAAAACTATATTTCCAAGTTATAAAATATTCACATAAGCCAAATTCTTTGCCATAATATAGTATATTAAAATTTACAAGTTGGTAACACTTTATAAATAACCGAATTCTAAAATTGAAAACCAATTATTAAGTAGCTACTTTGAGATTTTCAATTTATGTGATTTTCAAGAACATTGATTTTGTCCGTAGATTGGGCACTGCTAACCTATTTTCTTAACACTGGCGAAATGTGTGATTAAATATGAGCGTTACCAAGTGAAGAAAATTCTGATCAATGGCCGGCCAATACAATAGTAGAAAAACATGGTTTCTTGCACGTTTCAAATTTTTATACCCGTACGAACGTATTTTCGAAGGGTATACTAAATTTGCCATACCGATTGTAACGCTTAGACTCAAGTGTATGTTTTTCATCAGCGTCGAATTCCGCATACTGTGCATGTGTATACTTTGCGAATAAAGTTTTCTGCAAATTTATTTTTATTGACACGTAATTACAATTTTTATTGAAGAAATATTTTATGATTTTAAAATTTAATATTATGTTTACATTTATAAATATTG